AGGAAACTTAAGGTCATAGAAGCAAAGTAACTTGCCCAAAGTCCCCTGGCCTGGAAGCGTCCTATTTTTCTAACTCTTAACTGAGGCGTGTTTCTCAGGATTCACATAATATCCCTGGCTCTTCCTGGACTGCAATGTTGCTGCAGCTCAAGGTTGTGCTATTGATGTTTGCAGTGAACACAGGTAAACTGAGAACAGTACGCATGCCTGTCTCCCCAGACCCAGAAGCTCCGGGAGCTGGGAGGACAGTCACCAGGGTAATGTGGGGGTGCAGCAGGGGCCATCAGAGTGGCAGGGTCATCTGACCATCTCTAGGACTCTCGTCACGACACATCTCCCAGGCCCACCCTTAATCCCAAGGACAAGCCCCTCACCCTCCCGCCACGATCCCTTCAAACCTCAGTGTCACTACCAGCAAAATGGCACCAACCCCCTTTGTATTCGTTTCCTGTGGCTGCCACCAAAAAAAAAAATATCACAAAGGGGATGGCTTAAAACAAACAGAAATGTGGTGTCTCCCAGTTCTAGATACTAGAAGTCCAGAATAAAGGTGCTGGCAGAGCCAGGCTCCCTCTGAACCTGCAGGAGAAGAAAGCTTCCTTGCCCCTTCTAGCTTCTGGCAGCTCCAGACGTTCCTTGACTTGTGGCCACATCAGGCCGATCTCTGCCTCGTCTTCATAGGCCTTCTCCCTGTGGGTCCCATTGTCTTCCCTCTGCGCATGCAAGGTCTGACAATTAAGTTGGTGAACCTGTTGCAACAATGTTTCTAACCCTTTTTGATGTCAGAGGGATTATTCATTATGAATTTGTACCAACTGGACAGACAGTTAACCAAGTTTACTAGTTGGAAGGGCTGAAAAGGCTGCGTGAAAAAGTTAGACGACCTGCACTTTTCGCCAACAATTCATGGCTCTTGCATCACGACAATGCACCAACTCACATGGCACTGTCTGTGAGGGAGTTTTTAGCCAGTAAACAAGTAACTGTATTGGGACACCCTCCCTACTCACCTGATCTGGCCCTCAATGACTTCTCTCTTTACCCGAAGATAAAGGAAATATTGAAAGGAAGCCATTTTGATGACATTCAGGACATCAAGGGTAATACGACGACAGCTCTGATGGCCATTCCAGAAAAAGAGTTCCAAAACTACTTTGAAGGGTGGACTAGGCACTGGCGTTGGTGTATAGTTTCCCAAGGGGAGTACTTCGAAGGTGACCCTAGTGATGTTCAGAATGAGGTATGTAGCAATTTTTCTAGGGAGAGTGCGAACTTAATTGTCCAACCTCATATTTATCTGTATCCAAATTTCCCCTTTCCATAAGGATCGGTCACTGGATTAGGCCCACCCTAAGGATGACAGTTTAACTTGATTACCTCTGTTGAGACCCTATCTCCAAATGAAGGCCATATTCTGAGGTCCTGGGGGTTAGGACTTCCACATATAATTTTGGTGGGGCACCGTTCAAGGATTGAATGTAGTACCACACATAAACCTCTGAGCACAGTGCTTGGCTGGCACAGTATCAATGCTCCATAAAATGCTGCCAAAGAAAAAAGTTGAGCACCTGGAAAAAAGGTGCTTGGTGTACTCTGTGTGCCAGGCACAGTTTGGGGGCTTGGCATATATTATCCCACTGAACTCTCACAACCACCCCTGGAGACAGGCAAGATTTTCATTGAAATGATGAGGGAGCTGGGACTCAGAGAGGTTAAGGCACTTGCCTGAAGTCACACAGCATAACTGGCAGAGCAAATATCAACCCCAGGTCTACGGGGCTCCACTACATCACATAGGGTAGGGTAGCGCTATAGTGGGGAGTGGGAGGGATAGAAAGGCAGGGAGAAAGTGCTGAGCACACAGCACATGACCCTGGGGAGCTTTCTGGGTCTGAGAGGCATGGAATGCTCTTGATGATAGTGAGTGGGTGGGCTGGATGGCAGGCTGCCCGGGGAGGTGTTGGCAGGCTGCCCGGGTACAGGGCTGCCAGGTCTGAGTAACTCCACTGTGACCTAACCGGCCCGGCCGATACTCCAGGGCTGGGACCGGGCCAGCCCTGAGGAATGTTGTCCAGAGCGTGGACACACTTCGCTTCGTTCTCAGTATGCACAGCTCGCCAGGAAGCCAAGAGGTGGTGATTCCTTCAAGAAGCCTGCAAGTGCAGCTCACTCAAGAGTCAGGCTACTCTCTCTTCCTCTTACTCTCTTTCCAAGGGTTCCCTGCGCCTAAGGTAGGCTTTCTGTTCTGGCTGAGTTTATTTACTCAGGTACTAACATGCTGACACACTCAAGCATCTATTCATGCATTCACTCATTTACTTATCCACCCATTTACCTAATGGCTCATTGATTCATTCATTCACTCACTCACTCATTCGTGCTCACACGTTCATGTACACAGACATTCACTCTTTCATCTATCTATCCATCCATCCTTCACCCATCCATCCATCCATCTATCCATCCATCATTCTTTCATCCATCCATGCAACCTTTATTACGCACCTACCATATTTTCCACACAAAGCTTCTCATGCCTCCCAGAGTACTTTCTCACCCACTTTTACTGCTACTGCAACTTATATATCGGGAAGGCAGGCCCCTGTGCCAATGGACGCCCCCCGGATACCTGGCCTTCTTGTGCTGTGCTTCCAGAATCTCCTTCTCAGGAGGACGCTTGGGACAAGTGGACGGCCGATCCTCTGCACAGCTCCAGTCTGCATGTAAGAGCCAGTGATGGCCTCCTGAGACTTGGGGCTCCTGAGGGCCCTCTGCCCTGTGGGCCCCTTCCAATCTTTTGATGACAGGACTATACACCGTCCTGGGTCCTGTGGCCCCAGCGGGGCAATTTCCAGTTATTGGACTCCTGTGGACTCAGGCCCGTCCTCGAGGAGCACCGTCGAGCTGCTGTTCTTAGAGTAAGGACAAAGATGCTACTGGGAGGGCCACTGGCACCCAGGGCTTTAGACTCGGGCAGAGAAGGTCAGGGCGATCCGGGAAGGACCATGACATCCTGCCCTGGCCAGAGAGCAAGAAAGGGGAGGGACTCCAGGCCCATAACAGATACGGGAGCAGAACCCAAGCTAGAGAAGCCAGGAGCAATGTCCCTCTCTCATTCCTACCCCTTCACATTCCAGGCTAACGCTGATTCCCAGGGAGGCCCTTCCAGACCCCCACATCCAGCCACTCCTGTTCCCTGCTGCCTTAGCATCCTCCCTCCCCCCACCCACACCCCGCTTTTTCACACCCTCCACACACTCCTGCTGCCTCGCTTTTCTGTTTCCTGGCAAATATCACCACCCCCATTTTGCAGAGGAGGAAACCAAGGCTCAGAGAAGGCAGGTGACCTGTTCCAAGGCACAGGGGGTGTGGCCAAGCCAGGGTGACGACTCCTGGGTCTTGGGTTCTTTTTTCTTTTATTCTTTTTTTTTTTTTTAGTTTCAGGTACCCAAAACGAGATAGTGATTAGACATTTACACACCTCACAAAGTGATAACCCCACCAAGTCTGACACCATACATAACTATTACAATACCACTGACTCTACTCCCTGTGCTATCTATCCCGTGACTACATATTAATTATAGTTGACAGACAATATTATTTGACACGGAGTATTATTTTATATTAGTTTCAGGTGTGCGGCCCAGTAGTTAGGCATTTATATAATTTACGAAATGATCCCCCTGATAATGCCGGCACCCATCTGGCCCCATACACAGTTTTTACAACATTATGGACTATATTTCCCACGCTGTACTTCACATCCCCGTGACTATTTTGTGCATGAATTCTTTTCTCCATCCACATTGGCCAGGTACTTTATTAATGCAGTTTTATTTAAAATTGGATGTCTGTAAGTAATAATAATGGCCATACCAATCATATTTCATGGCTGTTTTTCAAAGGTGCCATTTTCACTTTAACTTTGTAGTGCTGGCAGGTAGGCAGGGCTCAGGGGTGTGTGTGCGTGTGTGTGTGTGTGTGTGTGTGTGTGCGCGCGCGCGCACGCGCCTGTGTCTGCCTGTAGGTGGCCCTGGCTGAGCCGGCCCTGCTGGGGAGCAGGTTGGACATCTGTCCCGGTGTGGGAGTGTCTGAGGACTGGGCGTGCCAGAGGCCCAGCAGCCTTGTCTTGCTCACACTACCGACTGAGTCAGCCCCACGACAGCAGCAGCTCCGGTGCTGACCCGGGAGCTGCGAGGGTGCCAGCCCATGGCCGAGCCTGCCCTTCTCCTCACAGCCCAGATGGAGAGGCTGGCCCCGGTGTCCCTGGCCTCACCGTGTCCCCGGATCCCACGGGCCCGCATCGCCAGGCGGCCGGGGTGCTATGCCCGGCACTGGACTGACCTGGGCAGCAGGTACAGAAATCACAGGAAGGGGTTGGGGAGGCTTGGGCCCCTGGTATCTCAGGGTCAAGGCTGAGGAGCAAAGGGGCCAAGATGAGGACCTCCTGGTTTAAATTAACCGAAGGACATCCATAAAGCTGGATTCTGGGAGACCATTAAAGTGAATGAGTTAGATCTTTATGTTACTGACGTGTAAAGGTGTAAATCTATACTTCAAATGGGATTATGCTACCTGTGTGCTTCTAAGCTTCCTTTGATCCCTTAATTTTCATTATGGATATCTTTGCATGTCAGTAACATAAAGACCCCAAACCCAAATCTTTCTGGGACACAACCTTCCCTGGGCTCCTGCTGTTGGCTTCCTGCAGGGGCCACTGATTTTCAGATTCTCAGAGATGTGAATGACCCTCCATATGTGCTGTTCCCCCTTCCTCTGGATGTAGAAAGTATTAGGGACCCTAGGGGTTATTTGGGGTTCAGGATTCAGGGCCTTAAGCTATAGCGTCTTAGCTGGGTCCCTGTGGCTGTGTGGTCAGTCACCTGGGCTGACAAGCTGTGACACTCCTCCTTCCTGCTCTGTGTGCCTCTGACAGCCAGACCAGACGTTTTTAGAAGTCATTTCTCCCCACATATGATTTCAGCATATTACATTAGGATTACTATAGGAATTCAAGCAGTGCAGAAGTACCTATGCCTATTCCCCCAAACTTAACTACTGTCAAAGTTTTGGCATCTACCTGGGGAGAATTTTTTTTTTTTTTAAGATTTTTACTGGGGAATTGGGGGATGGGAACAGCGCTGGGGAATTGGGGGAAGGGAAACAGACAAGTTGCTGTCCTTTTGTTCTTCAGTCTAGTTGTGGAGGATGTCGCTTCACTGGCCCAAGTTGGCACCATCATTGCGCTCTTCCCGGGTGAGGCAGATCAGTCGCCGGCTTCTGGACGGCCGCTCACTGCGGCTGCTGGCCGCTCACGCTGGCTGCTGGCTACACACAGTAGCCCATGGCAACCTACTGCAGCAGGGGCTGCAGCCTACGCCGTCGCCGGTGACTCACAGCAGCCCAGCCCCAGGTTGAGCTGTTGTTCAGCATCTTAGCTGTGGAGGGCACTGGCCCTCATATGTGGGATCCGAACTGGGGCCCTCTGGCGTCCCAAGCCAGCTCTTAACCAACGCGCCACTCATCTGGCCCTGGGGAGAATTTTTGATGTATGTAAACCTATACTTCAAATAGGATCAAGCTACCCGTGTGCTTCTTTGATCCCTTAATTATTAGTATGGACACACCTTTACACGTCAGTAACATAAAGATCTAACTCATTCATTTTAAATGGTCTCCCAGAATCCAGCTTTATGGATGTCCTTTGGCTAATTTGAACCAGTTAATGTCCTCGCGAATGGACATTTAAATTGGTTCCAATATTTTAACAAGTCCAAGCAATACTTCAGTGAACATCTTTGGGGATTTGTGTGGGTAAAACTCATTCCTATAAGGGTAATTGCAGGTTTAAAAGGAACAATTAGAATCACGAAAGATCCTGCACAGTTGCCCTCCAAAAATGTTCTAGCTCAGAGCCCACCCACAGCAGGGAACCTACCTATGGCCACTCATTTCCACCCAGGACCTGAGGACTGACTGTGGCTTGTAGGTAGAGAGCAGGTTCGGGGAGCAGAGAATCCCGATCCTCAAACAACTGAGCCCACAGCTCTCCCTGATGTGGGAACAACTTCTAGGCTCAGGGAAGAAGCAGGGAGCTCAGGGAGATCATTTAATTCATACAGCAAATTCACTGAACTCCTGCTGGGGGCCTCTGCCCCATCCCAGGCAGACTTACTCAGGATATGCGATTTTATGGAGAATCGATCTTAATAAGCGAAGACATGCCTGTCTGTTTACCTATCTGTCTGTCTGTCTGTCTGTCTATCCACCCATCTACCAACCAACCTACCTATCTATCATGGCTGTTCCCCTGACCTCCTCCTGTACCGTTCCTTAATCTCTTGGTTCCCGAGCTCACTAACTTTGAATTCACTGTAAGAGTACCTGACCCACTGAATGTGCTCAAGACTTACTGGATGATTTTCGTTGCATTCCCTTTGGTACTTGAAACAAAACGAAACACACAAAAAAATGACACACCTTCCAAAAGAGTAGTTTTTCAAACTCCGGAGTGCTGTAAATCTTTTATTTGAGTTTCATCTTTATTCTATTTTTGAGTATTGAAAAACTAGTAAAAGCGTCACATACCTCCAGTGTGTTATATTTATTTTGTCCATCAAAATTATATAAATTGCATGATCCATAAATGCTTTACATTGAACTTACGAAGGATTTTACAAGAATATAATGGTTCTCTTTTTTGTTTATTGAAAAGAGATTCCATTGCCAAGAAAAAAAATGTGAAAACCACTTCCCTGAGACAGAGCTGGTTTGTCTGCTCCAGGCCAGTGCTCTTGTATATCGGTTCACAAAGTTACTAGGTCAGCTCTCCCTACCCTCTGAGTTCTTCGTCTCCCTGGTCACTCAGGGGTGAGTCATTTATTTATTCAACAAGTTCCAATGGGACCGTAAGCTCCCAGCTGCCAAGTCATAGCTGTTTTGTTCACCTGTGTATCTCTAGCATCCAGTGCACTTGTAGGTGCTCAGGAAATGTTTGCTCAATGAATACAATGCCCACTGCCTCTACGTGAAGTCCCGTGATGGGTAAGGGGACATGAGGATGAATGAGATGCTCCTAGCCCTTGGGAAGTCCACAAGCCGGTCCAGGAAGAAGACCTAGAACTGGTCCACTGCAACATGATGTACTAAATGCCGATCAGAAAGGTCTGAGCAGGGGTGACTAGAGTCAGTACTGTCATCCAGTAGAACTTTTCATAAAGTGAGTAGGACACAGAGTTCGCTCTCTGTGTGGACTGAATCTTAAAATCATGCAATAGTCGGCCTTGGGAGGTGCCTTAAATGACCCAGTCGTAGCAAGAAGACTCTGTAGGGACCCCTCCAACCTTGCTCCCAAGTAGAAATGTATCTTCTGTTAATTCATGATTGGTATTAAATAATAACAAGTGAAACCCACTTCCCCCGCCTACCTCCAACTCACAAGAATAGTAATTGTGAACAGTTCAGTGTGAATCCTATAAGATTTTATGCTTCAGAAATATATTTTTACATATATGTACATGGAAAACATATGATCTAACACATGTATATAACACTTCTATACTTGTAGCATTTTGTATTTGACCTTCTCCACATGATAATATCTTTTCATGGAAATACAGAGATCTACATTTTTCTCTGTAAAGGTTGCCTGATATTCATTTTACGAGCAAGCTGTACTTTCATTAACTAGCCTCCTATGATGGACTTTTAGGTTGTTGCCTGTTCTTTTCCTTCCTTCCTTCCTTCCTT